CACGCACTCTCACACTCTTAATCCTATATATATGTATATATATATATATATATATATATATATATATGTATATATATATATATATATATATATGTATATATATATATATATATATAGGATTAAGACTGTCAGACTGTCCTGGGCATGATATAAAACTGCATCCACGCTGCTTTGCGTGCTTTTGAGCAAAAGGCTAGTTCCACCACTTATAACTGGTTGTTGTCGTCAGGAAGTGTGTCCGGATGTAAAAATTTTTTACAAATAATATCAAATAATTTTTATCAAATAAAAATATAAACATAAATATATATATATAATCTATATATATATATAGTATATATATATATACTATATATATACATAGTATATATAATATATAATACAATATATATATACATAGTGGTATATATATGTACATGTATATATGTATACTCTGAGTTTTATAAATATATAAATATATATATATATATATATATATATATATATAGTATATATATATAGTTTTATTTATAGTTATATATATAGTTATATATATGTAGACTGTCCTGGGCATGACATAGAGCCCTGCGCGGTTTGCGGTTGTCGCGGTTTAAACCGCCAAAACCGCACCGCAACCGCGGTTTTTTGCAGTTGCGGTTTATAAATCATGTGGTTTTACGCGGTTGCGATTTTGAAATGTGCGGTTTTTTGCGGCGCGGTTTTTTTTATCAAAACCGCGGTGACCGCAAAAATTTTGTTAAATACTTTTGTTCGTTCATAACCATTTAAAAATTGCATTATCGTTATAATAATTTTTATATATAGTGTCTTTGAAAAGTCTTAATATCTTTGGAAGCCGTTGAAGCAACCATTTTCCTTTCCCTGTTTACTTTGAAAGAAGTAGTTATTTTATTTACGGGTGTTTCGTCAGAAAGGGTAGGATCATCTCTCAATTATACACTGCAAAAGAGACGGTCCAGTTTAAATCCATACAAAATTGACAAAATGTTATTTATTAAGAGTAACAGTGATTTGGATGTAGATAATTGTGATTTATAATGTCAATAAAAGCATTAATGTTGTTTTACATTTTTTGCGGTGCGGCTGCGGTGCGGTTTCGGTTTCAAATGTTGCGGTTTTGTGCGGTTGCGGTTTTTGAAAATTACAACCACGCAGGGCTCTAGCATGACATAAAACTGCATCCACGCTGCTTTGCGTGCTCTTGAGCAAAAGGCTAGGCTCACCGCTTATAACTGGTGATTGTCGTCAGGTAGGGTGTCCGGATGTAAAAAAATTTTCCCCAAAATTATTCCATGCCATCATAAACAAAAACAACGGCCCCTAGTCCCCAGCAGGCAGGCCTTAAGTGGTCAAGGGTTGCCAAGAATCCCAGGGAAGTATACATTAGCGGAGGGATGTTGCAAAAAAATTCAGAATGGCCCCTCTATTGTACTTGGACTTGGAACGCTCATTGTTGGATCACTGACTGGCCGCAGCATGAAAATTGCAGAAATGCTCGAGCGTAGAAGGATTAACATCTGCTGCCTTCAGGAGACTCGATAGAAATCGAATGGTGTCTGTCATATCAACTCAGACAATTAAAATATAAACTATACTGGAATGATCAAAATACGGCCAAAATGGTGTTGGAATTTTTGTCAAAGAACCGCTAGCCCAAGAAGTACTGGATATTAAAAGGATTAACTCACGTCTCATGTAGATCAAGCTTTGCCTAGAAAAGCAAACAGTGACTATTTTTTCTGCATACGCATCCCAGTCGGGCGAATCAGAAGAGATGAAAAATGATTTCTAAGCCGCGTTCTCCGACACCATCTCAACAATACCAAAATCTGAAACAATCCTGATTGAAGGCGATCTCAATGGCCACGTTGGAAAGAAAACAGATGGGTTTGACTGCCTACATGGCGGTTTTGGCTATGGAGAACTGAATGAAGATGGCAACCGCATCCTTGAGTTTGAAAGTCACGAGTTTTGTTTACTAAGCATATATTTTAGAATTAGAAAGAGGTTAGAACATCTCATAACATACAAAAGTGGACATCAGCCACGAAAATTGATTTCTTTGCAGTCAAGTAACAACACCGAAGGCTATTCAAAAAAGTCAAAGTTATACCTGGCGAATCATGTGTCACCCAACATAAACTTCTTGTGGCAGACCTGGTTGTAGAACTGTCACAACAGTCTAAACAAATGCTTCGGAAAATCAAAACTTGGAAGCTGAAAAGCAATATTCATCGAGAAAAATTTCAACAGATTGTCGCCACACAGTTAGACCACCAATCGCAAGCCAGTACAGATTGGAGTACATACAAAACCGTTTTGATAAACGCTGCAACTACAGTTTGTGGGAAAACGGGTACAAAACGCCAGCATGAACGGGGCACTTGATGGTGGAATGGCAGTGTTCACAATGCAATAGCTGAAAAGAAAGTTGCATACAAGCAATGGCAAAAATCAAAGTCTATTGATGACCATAAAATTTTCCGTGAGAAGAACAACTATGCAAGACGTCAAGTCGCACTGGCAAAAATAAGTTGGTTCTTGAACAAGATGAGATCATGCTACAGTGGAGAGAATACCTTCTGGTTGAATACCTTCAACCGTCTGTTAAATGAAACAAATCCCATCAATGTCAACTTTGATGCTCCACCCACCGAAGGTTTGATTCCAGACATCACTGTAGAGTAGAGGAGCTTCTATAAAGGCAGCAGGGCCCTCCGGACTCATAAATGACATTATCAAAGCATCTGGCACTGCAGGTATCCAAACGTTACTACAACTTTGCCGTGATGTATGGAGCAGTGATATTTAACTTAAGTAAAAGTAAAGTAAAAGTAAAATGATTTTTGTGTAAGTAAAACTATAAGTAGAAAGAATTTGTTAAGTAAAAGTAAAAGTTAAGTAAAATGAATTTATTGTAAGTAAAAGTAAAAATAAAAGTAAAAAGAGTTTTAAAGCCAATATTTTACTTATACTTAAAATTTTTTTGAACTCAAAATTAATTTTTTTAAATCTTTGCAAATTATGATCTTTGGGGAAGTTCACTTTTCACAAAGCACGTGGTTCCATTTTCTTTTTATTTGTGTCTTCTATTTCTTTATTCTCAACCAACTAGAATTACAGTACTCCTATTTTGCTTTTTGTTCGTTATTTGTTCATTTTCGGCCAAAATGACTACTTTAGTTCAACTGATGTCAGGGAGAAAAAAAGAAAGTTCAGTATGGGAGTATTTTGTTTTTGATGAAGAGATAAAGAAAAGTAAATGTGTTGTATTAGATGAAAAGGGTGAAGAATGTGGATTTTTGTTGGCAGGTAAAAACACCAGCAATTTGAAGTTACATTTAAAATCAAAACATGCTCCAGTCTCTAATTTTGTTGAGTCAGTTGACAGAGAAAAGCAACAAATTAAAACGCCTGCATCTCAAGAACAAAGTAAGTAGTATTTGTATAATTTAATAGTTTTGGTTGTAAATTTTGTGAAATAAAATAAATAAAATATAACATAACATAAACAATTTAATTAATAAACTTTCATGTCATTCCTATTATAAAAATTCTATGTCATTCCAAATAGAGGGCAAATCTTGTGTTACTGTTAGTAATGCCAAACATGAGAAAAACAACATCAAGTCCTTTTTTTCAAATATGAGTCAATGGTCAGGAAAAGAGCATGACAAACGTGTTGAAGCAGTTATGAAAATGGTTATCGGAACTGGATCTCCAATAACAATTGTGGATCATCCAACTTTTAGGCAAATGTTTCACATTTCAGATCCAAAATTTAAACTTCCAGGTTGATTATTCATTTTGTTTTGCATTCATTACGCCATTCTTTATACATCGATATAGACATAATTTTAAACAATCAGTTTCAGGAACACTGGTTAAGTTGCTAAACAGTACTTGGTCAAACTCTAAGAAAAAAATTAAGGCAATGTTGTCGACTAGTCGAAAAATCACGATATGCCTTGATGCTTGGACGAAAAGGGATTATCGTGTTCTTACCTAGGAATTTCAGCGTGTTTCTTTGACCCAGGCGCCAAAATGGTAAGACATTTAACATTGCATTTGACACTTCTTTCTCATCCTCACAGCGGAGAACAGTTGGCTCAGGTTTTAAGCTCTTGTTTAAAAAATTGGGATATTAGTCCACAAAAAATACTTATGATTGTATCAGATAATGGCTCAAACATGATCAAGGCAGTGAAAATATTGAAAGAGAAACAAGAACAAAAAAATCAAAGGGATGTTGGAAATGAACGAAGTGACTCTTCATCATCTGAAACATCTAGTGATGAAGATAGTGAGGTAGAATTGGATTTAACTCTGCCAATATCAGCAGAAACACTTTTCAGGCGTATGGCCTGCATGTCACATACGCTCCAGCTGATAATAAAAAAAGGTTACAACAAATACAACGAACTCATTGGTAAGGCAAGTCACATAGTGACAAAAATACGGAAATCAACGAAGGCAACTGAGATGCTAATTTCGAGATGTGGAAAGACAGTGGTTGCTGACAACAATACCAGATGGAATAGCACTCTTAGAATGATTAAGAGATTGCTAGAAATACGAACAGCAACAACTGAGGTATTAACTTCCATAGGGGTTGATTCATTGTTGGTTGACGAGTGGGCAAAATTGAAAGACCTCGTCGGTCTTCTTGAACCATTTGCAATTCAAACAGATATTTTACAGACTGATAGTACTGCTCTTTCATTAGTAATTCCCTCATTGTTGGACATCGATTTACATCTCAATCAGTATTTGCTAACTGAAGAAATAGCGGGATGTCTGCAGATTGAGCTTCGCAAGAGGTTTGACTCTCTCTTAAACCCTTCGAACCGTGATTACAACCCATTACCAGCAGCAGCTTGTTTGGTTGATCCCAATCTGGCAGCTGTTCTTTTCACACATGATGGAAATAGACTGCTTGAGTCTGCGAAATCATTTCTTGTTGAACAGGTTAATAAATATACTTCATTTTTACTTAATCTTTCACAGTATACTTTTTCATTGAATTTTTTTACATAAATTATTTTTGTTTCAGATGGTGCATTATAGCCGATACCATGCAGTAGATCTTGAGGTTCTTTCAGAAACAACAAACACAAAAGTAGATAATGTCGTTCCCCAAGCAAAGCGCTTCAAATTTGTAGCAGAAAAGATTTTAAATCAAAACCAAGTTTCGGCTACTAAAACATCAACATCATTTCAGCAACAGTTGAACCAATACATGGAATATGTTAAATCGATCAAGTTTGATAGTATCGACAATATTTTCAATTTTTGGACATCACGAGAAACTGAATATAGTTTACTTGCACCAGTTGCGTTAGATTTATTATCTGCACCTGCTTCACAAGCTTACGTTGAGAGGATTTTTTCGGTTTGTCAGATGCTTACATCTGGAAAAAGGAACAAATTGGGAACAATGTTAGCCACAAGAGTGTATTTAAAACTAAATATGCCATTAATTGAACAATTTACTTGAATTTTTAATGATTTTTATTTTTATGTCCTTGTTTTTAATGTGTTTTTGGAAATAAATAAAGTACCGAATTATAACCATGAATGATTAAAAAATTAAGTAAAAGTAAAATGTAAGTATAAGTAGAAAGAATTACTCTAAAATTAAGTATAAGTATAAGTAAAAAGAATTCCAAAACTAAAAGTAAAACTTGAGTAAAATGATTTTTGTGTAAGTAAAACTAAAGTTTAAGTAGAATGAATTTTGCAAGTTAAATATCACTGGTATGGAGAAATTGCTCAATGCCGACTGAATGGAACTATAGCATGACAGTTCCGCTATACAAAGGCAAAAGTGATCCTTTAAAATGTTCATCATATCGGGGTATACGTCTGTTAGAACACTCCCTGAAAATTATCGAGAAAATCCTTGAGAGAAGTTTAACGTCGTGCAGCACAATCGGAAATTATCCATTCGGTTTTCTAGCGGGGAAATCAACAAATGATGCAATTCTTATCATTCGTCAACTGCAAGAAAAGTACCTCGCAAAGCATCAACAACTATCACACATTTTCGTAGACCTTGTAAAAGCATTTGATCGAGTTCCCCGTGAAGCAATCAGGTGGAGTCTACGTCGACAACTCATTCCAGAATATCTTGTTCGACTTGCGATGGAAATGTATACAAATACTAACACTCTCGTCAGCACAACGGTTGGAAACACAGATGCATTTGACATCGGCGTTGGAGTTCACCAAGGCTCGATTCTCAGTCCACTGTTATTTATAATTGTGATGGAAGAAATCACAAAACCGATACGCACTGGTGACATTTAGAATCTAATATAAGCTGATATCTTTTTTTAACAGCCACGTCTGAGCAGAATGTAGCACAGATGTTTGAAGATTGGAACACCAGACTCGCCGATCATGGATTCAAAGTCAACATCAGGAAAACCAAAGCAATGAACACTGGAATTTAATTGCCTCTTTGACGGCTGTGCACGTCAACATGACTCATATATTGGGATTACTACTACCTCACTGACTAGAAGGCTTACGATGCATAATGGATGTGCTATCAAATCTCATTTGGACTCAACACACTCAATCACTATTAGCCGTGAATTCCTCGACAACAACATCAAAGTAATATACCAGAACAGCAACTACACGCATCTTAAAATTGCAGAAGCAGTCCTAATTGTCATCAATAAACCAAAAATAAATATACAACAAATAATGACAACCCCACTCCCAACCCGGCGCTTAATCAACAATGAAAACAAAGAAGTAACAAAAACTAGCATTGTAAATAGTGACAAAGAAGAATATGATGCATAATTTCATAATTGTAAAGCAAAGAATCTTAGCCCCTGGTTGTAAACGACTTTATATATAATATGTTTTTCAAACTTTGACTTTGAATTGGCAAGATAAAGTCAAAAACAAAAGTTAAAAAGCGCTAAGTACATGAAAAGTGTATATGTTAGAATGTAGCCCAAGAAGCACTAATAATAACGCTCTAAAATGTTGGAATTGCAAAATAAGGAACAATTTAGATAAAACGGCAGGCACTGCAAAACAGGAGGAAAGTATAATTCTATATCAAGGCCATCTTTCCCAGACAAAAACTCAAGTAAAAGCTAATCTCTTGCAGCTGAGACTGCTGTGAGACTAGGTACTTAGTGCAAT